ATGAAGTCTTTGTTTGGGTGAACGGTATTTGGGGTCAGATGGACATCGCGACCTGAAATCGGAGAAACGTGCGTGTGTGTATGTATGCATGTATGTATGCATGTGTGTATGTGTGTATGTGTGTAGAGAAAGGGGGGGATAGGAGAGATAAGAGGGTAGCAACGCAAATGCGGAGTGCTGAGTGAAACCTTTTTACTCGTTGGTCGACAAAGGAGGGGACGGAGCGCTAAGGGCGGTGGCGGTGGCGGTGTTGGCGGCAGGGGCAGGGGCAGGGGTTTGCGGCGATGATGTAGGTCAGGGGATAGATGTTTTTGTTGATAAACGACATTTCGGCGATATGGATTATGATAACTTTCTAGTGGTGGTGTGTTGGTTATGGTGGTTGGTTAGTTAACTATAATGGCTTACTGTACGGACTTTGCAACAGCGATGCTCGGAGTCGAATATGTGTGTATGTGTGTGTATGGAGTGTTAGCTCGAAGGAAACCTATTAAAGACCTCACACCTGCAACTCACTGGCGGAGGGGGGGGAGGGGAGGGGAGGGGAGGGGAGGAGGGCGCACATCTTATTCTGCTCGGCGTGTACTGGAGTTCTTCGAAGCGCGGTGAGATTGTGTGTGTGTGTGTGAATTGAATTGAACCAAAAACTGGCTACTAACAAAGCTACAACAAAGACAGTTGCGTGATTCGGTTTGCTGTTTAAATTGTGGATCCTCCTTTGGCCTCCGCCTTTTTTATTTAACTCATATATCTCACCATGTGGTGTGGGGTGGAGGTTGTGGTCCAGTGCAATGCAGAGAGTAAGGAGGGGGGAAAGATGGAGGAGGAGGAGGAGGAGGACCAGAGCGGAGGGGGGAAAGCTGACGTGCAGCAATTCCACCCGTGGGTTGCAGGCTGGCTGGCTGGCTGAGTACCTGCCCGTGTTGCCGTACATCTATAACTCTGCAGTGTCGCCGTACAGGGGAGGGATGCGGAAGTGAATCACAGTTGTAAATATCATATGTATGTCAATCACTCCAGAAAGCGGTGATATGGACTCAGCAGCTCGGCTGGCTGACGCGGCGGCTAGGCGCTTTCTTTCAAGGAAATTTTGCGAAGCGTGTGCGTGTACGACAGGTGGTGTGGTTCTTTGGTCAATGCCACGGATAACAGATGCGTGTGGTTTGGTTTCGCGGCTCTGGCAAAAGTCCCGAGGCGGTGCAGCCATGCCTGTACAAATGCCCGTACATCAGTACGACAAAGCTGCTGCCATCGGCGCCACCTCCACCCTGACCCCCTCCCTCTCCAAGTGTATCTGTGGTTTCTCACAGCTTCCGTTTATCCCTTCATGGATGTCGCTTTATTTCCCTAAAGTACGACGATTTCGCCTGACAGCCGTAGTACGGAAGTTCACTTTAGCGCACGCTTTTGCTTACGTACGGAGGTATGTCTGCTGGTATGATGGATTCGTGGGTTAGAGCGAGGTTGTATGTGGCCGCCATCGCCGCAGCCGAGTGACTGAGGAGTAGGTGTCCGTGTTTCGGTATTCAAGCCGGCCGCAGCATCACAGCGGTAACCTTTATTTACCTTCGTAAAGGTGGATGGCACCGCGCTCTGCGCTTCGTGCATGCATAGAACCTGACCAGGAACTAAGTTGAGGCGCCGTTGATCCGCTAGATTTGGTTGGATGCTGGTGGTGAGTTGCCGAACCCAACGAGTACATTCTGAAGTCGGATGGGGTGACGGATTAGGGTGCCCCTCTAGCAGGGGAGAGCAGGGACTGCCTCGGGAAAGGGGGCCGCTAGCGAAGTTAACCACCCTGTAACAACATAGAACCCAAAAACATGAACAAGATCAGGGCTAATGTTTTACACCCCTACACTGACTAGCGCAGCAGCAGACCTCGTGAATGAGGGCTCTACCTTCTTCTTCCACAAGGCTTAGGACCGAAGAGCTGCGTACACCAACGATTCCCAGGCGCCTGTTGCCATCGTCTCAATGTTGAAATGTGAACGAGCCTAGCCAGCTCCGAGACCGATTGCCGATTAAATGTATACCTTGCCAAACCCTAAGATATACGGATTATGTTTAAAACATGGATCGTTGATTCCTGAGGTACCTTGGTACCACTTATTCGGCAACACACTACGGCTATAAGCCCGGGCAAGGCCGGAGTACGGGAACCCCCAACTGCCATAACGACCGCACGGCTTCAACTCGCCTGCAAACCACATTTCTTGTTTAACCTAAAACCAACCTTCAATTTTTCGAAAACCGAATACATCTGGGATGAATGACTGGGATAAAAGCAGCAAATGCACGACTTCGTCGCGACCCATTTGCACGGTACAACGTCGACAGCGGAAGCCGAGCAGTCGTCACCCTGCCTTGTGCGGATAGCGATAAAGCATCCATCGGTACAGGCGGCGGGTGAACGGGCTGGCAAAAATAATGTCGCCCGCCGAATATAACGGCAATAAACCACCATTTTTTACATCATGTGGCGAAATGCTGGACATGCTGGCTCCAGCAGGGCCCTAACGAAGCCCATAAACTTCGTTAGGGCCCTGCTGGAGTAGGGCCCTGCTGGAGTAGGGCCCTGCTGGAGACAAATCTTCGTTGCGATCACGTAACATGTGAACGTGCGGTTATTTATAACCACGTAACGGGTGAATGTATCCCCCCTTTTATTGCACGCACGCTGTCGCACAAGCCAAGATCCCATTCGTACACCAACTCACACCCCTTGCTGCTCAAACCCAAATTTGCCCGCTCTCTGCAAAGAGCTCACGCATACGAGGAGCATAGCAGAGTCCAATGCACATACAGAAGCATAATACGCCGTCCATCACCACCGTCACCATTTGTGTAACACACGTAATCGCGGTCGGTCGGTTGGACAGTTCCGATCCGATGGATACCCACTTATTAGTGTCCAGACGGTCTCTAGCCTAGAGGCCCGTTTCAGCCAGCAGGTTAGGTCGTGCTAGGGACCCCCCCCCATGCCCCCCACCCGTCCTCCGCCTCCTCCTCCTCCCGCCGCTCCTGCCCCCGCCCCTGCCCCCGCCACCTGTGGCTGTGACGGCAAGGGTCCCAACGACGGCAGCTACGGCGGTTTCTGCTCCGGCCATCCCTCTGCTGCTGCTGCAGCTGGCTGCAGGTCCATCCCCAGCTCCGCCTGCTGCTTGGTTGCTACCTGAGAGCCGCTAGAGCGCTGCGGCGGCGCCGCCCCAGCCACTGGCAACTGCGAATGAGGCGGCAGCTCCGTAACCACCTTGTTTGCATGCAGCGGGCCTGGAAAGGCGGTGCCGGCCGCTACTGCCAAAGCGGCCCTCTGTTTGGCCCGCAGCTTGTCAGCCGCAGTCCGCCTCCGCTGCCGGCCGCTTTTAGTCGTCGTTAGCGGCGGTGGCTGCGCCGGCAGCAGCGACGAAATCGGTGGTGGCGAGAACGGCGCGTCCTCCACCGGGGGGCCCCCGCTTGCGCCGCTCGACAAAGCATCGTACCCGTCAGGGGGTAGAGCACCCTTGGCCGCCTCCTCCTCCTTTTGTATGGCATGCAGGGTATGCAGTTTAAGTTGCAGAAGGGGGGAGAACATACGCACTCACACACACACACACAAGCCCGTTGGAAAGGACGCGCTGAAAAGGACCCATTCCTCTGCTCGTAAATAAGATTATCAAAAGACCAACATAACTTTTTAGTTTTTAGCAAAGTCAACCTCTCTCCCCAAAAAAAATGTTAGAATCCTTAGCGATCGTTAGAATCAATAGATAGATCGTTAGAATCGACAACTAATAATGCCCATTTGTGCGTGATGTCCCATTTACTAACACGTGGTAAAAAAGAAGATTTTTTATCCATTCTCCCCTTCATAAAAAATTTCTCAAAAACGAGAAAAGCAGCTTTCGGCATTATGCTCCTTTCTTAACCCCCCCTCAAACCCTACACGAGCCCAATACACCCATCTAAACGCACGGCAAACCGCAAGAGAGCCGCAAATAAGGCAAAAGAGGCGCAATCAGACTATGACTGAGAAGAGAGCGCACAACACGCAAAAGTAAATCCCGCACCTTATTCGAGACCCACTGCAGATCCTCCATCGCCGCAAACGCGTGCCTGTAAGCGGGGTTCTGCTCGATTTCGTAGGTTGCCGGCCCTATAAGTAGCTGGCTACGAACTGCCGTGCTGAATTCCGGGACCGCCGTCATCGCCGCCCCCTCCGGCCCTTCTCCAGCCATGTCGCTCAGCAGCCCCAGCTGCTTAGCGAGGCTGCGCATCAACTGCGCTCAGGGAAAGGCGAGAGAGCCCGGCGACAGCGACACCGGCAGAAGCAGCATCAGCGGCAATGTAGGCGCGGCGGGTAGGGAAGGGAATGAAGAAATGGGAAGTGATGGAGCGGTGCATTCGCTTACAAGCCCCTCTCCGAGGTTAGCAGCCCCTCTCCGGACGGACGGAGCGTAACACCAGTGAAAGAAAAAGATTCACAAACGTGAAAACTTCACAAACGTAAAAAATTTACAAACGCATATACAGAGAGAGAGCGAGAGAGGAAAAAGGTGAGAGAGGGCAAGCCAAGTTGGCATAAAGCGGGGGCTCACGCTACGTATCCGAGCGCACCTCAATCCACGTTGAGGTCGTGAGAAATACAAAGAGCACTCCGCCGCAAGCGATGAAGGCCAGGAACAAGGGGGCGGTGTTGGCCTGGGTGAAGCGCCAGGCTACCAGCTGGGGTGACAGGGAGGATGCGACCGGCATAAGGCCCTGGAAGGCGAGGCGGAGGCGGCGGCGGCCGAGGGAGGCGGGACAGACGTGGGGTCCAGGGCGGGGCCGGAATGTTGGATGACGCGGGAGGCGAGGCTGGCCCAGGAAAATGAATGAACAAACAAATGAACTAAAAAAAAGCGGAATAGAAAAAAATATATTCGTTTTAAGTAGTTGTCGCATAAAACCATACACTAGCTTACTACCAGTAAGGCAAGCGCTTTTCAAGAGATGCACAAAGCAGAAGATGCATGATGCACAGAGAGGCATGCAAACCCATGCAAACGCAGAGCACTCAGAAGAAGAAGAAGAAGAACCATGCAAACGTCCATGCAAACGTCCATGCAAACGTCCATGCAAAGCCTGTCGAAGGAGCCACCGGGGCGGTGCTGCATGCGCCGTCCTCCGTCCTCCGTCCTCCGCACCAGTACCTTGAACACCTTGACGCTGGATTCCAGGCTCCGTCGGAAAGTCTTGGCGATGAGCGGCGACTTGGGCATGCCGTACAGGCCAAAGAACCAGATGCCGAAGGCCAGGTGCCACAGCGCCGCGAAGGGCAGAGAGGAGCTGAAGTAGAAGGCCAGGTCGCGACTGTACGTGAGGGGACGCTGACGAAGGGGGGAGGAGGAGGGGTAAGGGGGAGGAGGAGGGGTAAGGAGTAAGCAGAAGAAGGGGGTTAGGGGCCTCCGTCGGGAAAAAAAAGGATAATACCCGTCGGTGTCTCAGGCGAGGGGGACCAGCAAAGCGAAGGGGGGGAGGATCAGGAACGTAAAAGAGCCGTACACAATAGCAAAATGTCTTAACGGCCGTTATGCGTTGTAAAAAAATTATGATAGGAAACGCAGGAGGATGAGGATGGGGATGAAAAAAACACGTTCAACCGGCTACGCGATGATCTGTTCCGTTTGAAAGAAAAGAACCATCGCACATAATAATAGACGTCTACGTGAGCCTCTACGGGCATCCTCCACAGACCCAAGCCCACCCGAGGGGCTCAGGACGAGAGAGGGCTAGTCATGGCCCTGAGAGGCACCTTCACGCCGAACGACGTCGTTCACGCCCGGCGCCCGCGCCCGCGCCCGCGACTCTTCTTACCTTGCACAGCCGCAGCAGCTCGTACTTCTCCGACCAGTAACACGTGGAGAAATGTACGGCGGCCAGGATGTACAGCAACGGAATGCCGGATGAGTACACCATTACGACATATATGACGTACAGGTGCTGACCTGTGTACGGCACCCACGGCCCAAGGGTAACATTTGCGTTTGTAATGAGTCTGTGAGGTGACGTGGCAATATGATGGCAATATGATGGCAATATGATGGCAATATGATGGCAGCACCTACCAGGAGCATTATTTTGATTGGGGGCGATTGCACAGCTGATGGCGCGGCGCGCAC